TTGAAGGTCCCCCAGGCCAACCCTAGGCTTGGTGATTCAGTACAGAGATTCAGAGAACTCAGCATATTGTCATACTCACGGTCATGATTTATTACAGCAGAAAGCTGCAAAGCAAAATCAGCAAAGGGAGAAAGCTCATGGGATGAAGCCTGGAAAAAACAAGGCATAAGCCTCCAAGTCGTCTCCCACTGGAATCCCACAGGACGGGCTTAATTCCTGCAGCATTGAATTGTGAATTGGGACAACACACGTGAAATGTTGTCTACCAGGGAGGCTTGTTAGAGATTTGGTCGTGCCAAACCTATAGAGAAATAATGAAATATATAGAGAATTTTTGAGCCAAACTGTCAACAATTATTGGGAAGCAAAATCTCAACGGATTGAGATAATGCTCCAGAGAATTGCAGTTGTGCACCTTATTTTATACATTACAGTAGAAAGAGAAGATGCAAGTGGGTTACATGAAATCCACTGGTGTCAGATTAGGGAGGTGGGAGAAAGCAAAGAGGGGGAAACCTCTGGGATTGAATGAAAATAAAGTGATAGACATATATTTGTTTACATAGGGGAGTACAGGCTAGTTAACAGTAAAAAATTAACATGATAGCTCAGCTGGTGTTGCTAAGTGGTTGAGCATCGACCTAGGATCCAGGAGATGATGGTTTAGTTCCCAGTCAGGGCACATGCCCAGGTTGCAGGCTCCATCCCCAGTCGGGGGCGTGCAGGAGGCAGGCGATCAATGACTCTCTCATCATTGATGTTTCTCTCTCTCTCCCTTTTCCTTCCTCTCTCTGAAATCAATAAAAATATATTAAAAAAAAATTAACATGATAAGACAATGAGAGGATTTATGGTCTCTGCCCTGGTGTACTGGTTGTGCCCTGAGGGGTCTGGAAAAAGGGGAGTTATGCTGACATTCCAAAGAAAGGTTATTGTAGGTGCAAAAGACAGTAAGACAGGCTTAGTTAAGGTAAAGATTGACTTTTGTCAGGGAAGAAGCTAGCCTAGGGCATGACTACCTGATATAATCTGCTTTTAGTTAAAAAGTTTTAATTTCAGACCATCCTTTGTGGTTATTTTAGGTCTCTGAGTTTGCAAGGCCGCCACACAGGCCTTCCCTGAGCTTGTCAGGTTATCACGTGTCAGGTTACCTTTTCGTCCGTGGTCACATAGGTACCCTCTGCCTGGCACTTGTCAAAATTCCAGACTTCCAGAAGGAAAGTAGCTGTTTGGCATAAACCACATTGTTTATGCAGTTCAGGCACAGGGAGCCATTCCTATCAGTTTTGGAAATGGTGGCAACGCTCCTGAAATCCAGGTTCCCAGACACCAGCCAACGTCAACCTTTCAAACCAGTCTTTCTAAGCATTGTAGTCTCAGGCCTGTTATGTTAACTCTTTTATATTCAACCAGTTTTTTTCTTTTCCTTCTGCTATGCAAATCAGAACATTTAAAGAATGCTTGCATCTTCCCAGTAACATATTTACTCAGATCCTTTATATAACATGGCAGGTTATATGGGGAGAGGTGGAGGCCAAAAAGAAAGGATATTGCATGTTTTGGTGATTACTTTAATTCTTTTTTCCCCGGAGGAGCACTTTTTGTTTTTAAACCTTGCCCGAGGATTTGCTT